AGGACTATTGTAAAATCTTCCTAAACAACTGAAGGCCCATRCTATCTGCTTTAATTCATTCAACTATGAATGAAGCCAAGATAAATRGAATAGTTATAAAATACTACAGAAATGAACCAAATACCCTTAAAATGTAAAATTAATCATTTCCTCTTTTATTCATAAACTTTTGTGATCTGCCTTRATTTGGATCTCTTTTCTGCTTACATTCAGAGTTTAAATACAAAGAATTTCAGCTGATATGAGTGGCATAGCTTGCTTTACCAAAGATTCTCAGATGAAAAGATGAATAAACTCCCTAAGTTGCAGGATATGAATTCTAGRGAAATAGTTATCCTGCAAGAATAAGACRTAGGGGTTCATTTAGAGAAAATTCTCACCAAAATGTGCAAATATATTTTTAGCCTTACAGTTATTTGTTTCCAATTCAAAGAATTAATTGTGTAAAAATTGCATGAGCACATTTATGAAAATCTTATGTAGTAATATTTGAACTTCCTCTTTCACTTTTTATTGTGATGGAGCACTTCCATTGAAAGCCCAGATGTAGGCACACTTGGATAGGGAAGATTCTTGGCAAAATCACTCCTGAACACATTTGTCAGACACTTCACCCAGGCTTATTCCTTACATATCTCCTAAATATGATGTGAAACAATAATTTTTAAAATCAGTTTTAAAATATCAATCCCCTGGTTCCATCTTTGTCCTAATGAATTTGAATGTTTGCTCTTTGAGTTTGTATCTGTATCCTACAAATTCCACCTCCCTCCAATGAATCTGTAGTATTCACACTGCAACCAAATCAGCACTAGGTCCTGCCCCAAATGTGAATTCTCCTTTCATAAAAATTTTCTGTGTATACTTCATTATCATTAGTATTATTTTGCAATCATAAAGACTTTATGTCTGATATATATATGCCATGGGGGATCACTTCCGGATACAATTTGAATGTTAAGATGGGGAAATTTATAAAATACAAAAGGAAAGTACAGTACCCAGTAAAACAAAAAGTAGAAGGTCTATGGTAGAGAATTGGAGGAGATGAGAAAACCCATTATTCATTCAGAGAGCAGGTCTGTGGAACTAGGGTAAGTACTTTAAAGTCACTAGGTAGTGAGGATGATTTCCCTTATACTTCTGTTTCTTCATGTGTTGTATTGTTGTCAACCCACTGATGGGCTTCTGATTCTCTCTGCAYATGACCATTATCCAGCCTCTAAGATTATATCACCTCAATCTGGGAAAGTACACATGTGTGTATCACCTCTTTCACTCTCTCTCTAAATGGAAGTTCTGGGAATATTAATAGAATTTCAGGGAGACAGAGCTGATGAGCCAAGTTCTGGTCTCAAGCCCTGGCTTGGCGACATCAGGTCACATGCCACCAATGGCATTGCCTAAGCTTTCTCCAGCTGAGAAGGGGGGGAAAAAACAATGTTGTGATTTTTTTTTCCCCTAGGGAAAAAAACAATGCTATGATTAGATATACCCAAGAATGTCTCCCTTCCTGACTAATGTGACAAACCTGTTCAAGGATTTTTCTTCTGGTCTTCAGACCATGGAAATCAGAAGGTTGTGTTCAAAAACAAACTCTAAAACCAAAAATTAGAATTCATAGATATTTTTCTTGGAAAAAAACACACTTAGTATGATATAAGACCCAACCTATTATTAGGTATTTTATATTTGTCATARGACTCATTGACATGATTCTGGATCTGGATCCAGATGTAGCAGGGGAATGGATCACATCATCCTTTTTCTCAATTATTTTCAGGTTTAGGTAGCTGAAAGTACATCTTTGCCATCATGACATAAAGTATGGGTGCTGCCTATATATTTGGATAAGTGCCCATTCTCCACAAAACCTGTTGACATCCATCAATCTTAGGGGTTGCAAGGCTCTTAACTTGGTGGTAAAGAAAATAGGAAGAATTCGATTCTTCTTCTTCTTGCCCTTCTTCCCTCCCCCAAATGAAACTTAAAAAGCTATTAGATAAAGTGGAGAGCCATGACTGAGACCAGATTTTAGAAGGATGATTAGAACCCTTGAAAGGGAACAGGAAGAACTACACATGTAATTTGTCACTGTGCCTAGAGCCTGGGTGAAATACAAGTGTTTTCTGGAGCTCACTCCAGCTCTGTGGTCTGGCTTTTGTGAGTGAACTTTCTTAAACTTCAGGGTTGAAATTGAGATTCTGGCTTAGACCAACTGAACTAGGCCCATAAATTGTACTTCTAACAAATTTCCAGGTGATACTGACATGAATGATCCATGAACCATGCTTGGAAGCATAAAGACTTTTAGAAAGCATAAATTGTGTAACCTGAAAGAGTAGGAAAAATGATATTTGAAACCCTTTCTTCTTTGTGGAAATAGTTCATAGAAAGGATAAACTCCTTCTCTCCCCAGGGATTGCCCTACCTCATTTCACACACCACDGGCCTTCATCACAGTTGGCTTTGGCTCTACTAAGGATGATGAAGTTGGCAGATCTCCTATTGGATTAGTAGCTCTGCAGAAGAATGTGAGGAAGGCTCAGAGAGAGAAAGGAGATGCAAGAGCCAAGAAAGTAAGCAGCAGGAAACAAGTTGAGCCACAAAAAGAGGAATTAACAATACCTAGGGACCATAGGTAAAAATATGGGGAGGGAAATTATTAAAAATGACTAAAAATTGGATAAAAGTGGATGGGGCTTGAGGCAACTATAATTTGAAGATATTATTATGCAGAGGTTGATAAATACTAGACATAATACTAGAWATACAAAATTACATCTATAGCAAGGTATCTAATTTAAATGTAAACCAAAAGCTCAGYTACTAGGGAAGCTGAGGCAAGAGGATCAARTTCAAGGCCAGGCTGGGCACTTTAGTCAGACCTATTCTCCAAACCAAACCTAGCAGGCACAAGGCCCTACGTCCAGTACTATAYAGACATGCAAAAATATTCTAGGAAATGGAATAAGAATTTAATTTGATAATAAGTTGAACATATTAATATTAATATGAAAGTCATTGACACCATCTTTATGTAAGAACAGTCACTATTGTTTTAAATCAATTAATATTAGAACAATTAAAAGTGATTTTCAGGTTTATTCTCAATCTTTATGCCCACTCTTATTTTTTAGTTAAGATCTTAATGTTGTCAATAAAGAATTCTCCAGGTTGTTAAGATATTGTTATCCAAAGAACTCAATCAAAAACTTTAAACTCAAATAGAATATATAGCTCAAGCATGAATCTGAGCTTACTTAATATGATTAACAAACTTTTTTCATTGTTGATTCACCTGTACACTGTCATAAAAATTCCTGAATTGGAATGTCTTTTGAAAGGTCATGCATGGGTAAATTGACCATGGTTCTCAGCTCAGATAAGCAATGTAATGCATTATCTACCCACTTCTGAAGAAGATAAACTCATTCCTTTTATTGGCTCAATAAAGTATGAGCAAATATTTTCATATTGTGTTTATATATAAACTTKATTCTCTCTACCACAGGTAGTTTAAGCTTTACCTGAGACATAAGACACATACAAAATAACTTTAAAGCAAAATAGAAAATAATAATTGCCAAAATAAAGGGGAAAAAGTTTTTGAAGGTACAAAGAAAGCAAAAAACTTAAGATTGTTTTCATCAAAGAGTTCTCAGAACTAAGTATTCAAGTTAAAAATAAATTTAAGTCAGAATGGCCTGGAAGTAGGATGGTGCGGAAAGCAGATTTGGAATAAATCCACAGATATAGAAAATACAGGGTGTTGGAACAAGGTGGGCACAAGAGGGAACAAGAGGGGAAAATGAGGACATGGTGTATTAAAGCAAAATGTCATTCTGTTTTGGGTGCCCAGCTCAACTCCACCTCCTTTCTTTCAGATCAACAACACCTTCAAATTCCAACACTCTAGTTCTGATTTTTAGTCTCTTCTCAAGGCTGAAGCATACTGATCATGGTCCTCCCTTGACCCTGGTTCATGGGGAAGCATCCCACAACCTTTACACTGACATCTCCTCAAGCACCTTCCTGACTCATGCTCAGTATCTGCAGTCCTTATTGTYACTTATCATCAAGGGTTTGTCAATTTGACCTCACCTTATCCCTAAACTGTGCTGGGCCACGCTTCTCTTGGCCTCTGTATCCCATTTTTTCTCTAGCTTCTTCCAATCATACCTATAGTTTCCCTATTTCCTATAATGATTCCTTTATCTCTCAGACATCCAATTAGAAGCAAAAATGTTAGGCCATGTTCTCCTTTTATCCTGAGTGCCAAGTCATTCATCAAATTCTCATGCTTTTGTCTTTTTAGTCCTTCAGTCTCTGCATATCAGAACCTTGTTGTCCAAACTATTCCTGCAACAGGCTTACCATAATGACTCTAGTGCTTATTGAATGCCAATTAGTCCTAAGCATGCTCATCATAAGTTTCAGTGCAAAAGTTTTAAATGTCTCCATAGTTCCTCAGATAGCTGAATTAAATTATTTTGATTGACTTTCAGAGCTCCTCACAATTTGATTCAACTCTACTTTTCCCTGTCTTGCCTCCCTGCTCTGTGTCATTTAGTCACTGTCAGTGCAAGCAGAGCTGGTRGTAACCATTCCATAGTGATGATTCCCCCTTACCTGTCAAATTCAGGGCACCACTGTGCTTCAGGAACTCTTTCCTGACTTGTTGATTTTTTTTTCTTTTTTACCTTTCACACATAATCYATGTGACATCATTTTATACACCTATTTTAAAATTGTTTTTTCCCCTCTGTTATTTCACRTTCACTCTGTCTTTACAAACTAACAAAGTAAGGTCATGTTTTTTGGCTTCATATTTCTGATTTTAGATGTCTAACATGATGATGAACATGCTACGGGTATTTTATTAGTAGTTACTGAATAATGAGCTACAGAGAAAAGAATGAATGGTTTGGAACAGAATTTACAGAACAATTATATAAAAGGTGCTGTGTAAGATAGAGCTATGCTGAATGCAAACTTACCAGAGAAGACACTAGGTATCTTGGAAAGAAAGCTTTTGACAGTACGGATAGGAATTCCATTTTTTTCATCTTGCATGCGTGCTATGACGTCTTCCATCTAAACAACAATAAAATAATAAAAATCTTCAGAAAGTTGAACTTTTTGAGAAMAAAATCAATTCTCATATCAATTTTGTACACCAGTTTTGCCCAACTAAGAATACTGCCATTTTCTCACCTTTCTTGATTTTTGTCTCATTAATATTTTAAGTTTGGTTAATAGGAGATAGAGAAAATAACAAGGAAAATGGGCCATTTGGGGTCCATTAAACTTCTGAAAAGAATGTTATGCTTTGAATATTGCCTTTCTTTTGGCTTCACATTCTTTGGTTATAAAAGCTGAAAGAAAACAGTATTTCATTTTTAAGTCAGAAACCACTGTCACAGCCAATTCACACTTTATTAATGTTATCTCTACTGAAATAAAAGAAAATAGAAGCCTCACAAGTATCTGCTTGGATTCCTCTGCAAGCAAGCGTTTCCATGATTTAGTTTAACACTAAAGTTCAGCAACCTGCCTGGAAATCTAGGACAGATTACCAGTAACTGCTGTTTCTCTTGCCTAGGCAATAACTGGTACAAGGTGAATTGTGCACATATATACCATGCATGGGCACACACACACATCCACACAAAATAAAATGAAAACCATAGGGTAGCCTCCTATCCAGTTAGTGGATTTTATTGCATCTTTCTTTCAAACTTGTTAGTATATGTGCTTTTGCTTTGAAATTTTTTCACAGTTCTAAAAGGCTGTACTTTACAGTCTGTTGCAGAATTTAGTTCTAAGTAAGATGCATTCAGATCAAAGTCTCACACTTTTCTCATGTGTTTCTGTACCTGTGAGACATAATACACACAAAAATATCCATGTTGGAGTATAGCACTTAAATCTATTTATCCACTCATTCCACAATTAGTAGTGAGCACTTACTCTAGGTCAGATTTACTGATGGTTTCTCAGGACATAAAAATGAATATAATTCATTCCTGTCCTTAAAAGAAATCCATAATCCATACAAAAATCAAGGTGAAATTTGAGTAAAGTTTGGTATTTAGTTAGTAGCATTGTATTAGTGTCAATTTCCTATTTTGATAATTATGTCCTGGTTATATAAGACACTAACATTAGGAAAGTTGAATAAAGAACCTGTGGGAAATCTCTGTGTGGTTTTTGTTTCCTTTCTGTAAGTATAAAATTTCAAGTCAAAAGGTTAAAAATTCAAAGTCTAAATTTCACAACAATGAATTATCMAATTCCCATCAACACAGCTTCAGAATGATTTTCAACTCAGAAATCTAATTTGCTTGGAAAAGGATCATCAGATTTATTAGTATGAGAACAATYGGTGATGCAGTTTTTTAAATTAATTAATTAATTTTACTTAGGTATATATGACAGCAGAATGCATTTTGATTCATTGTACACAATTGCAGCACAACTTTTCATTTCTCTGTACATGATGTAGCATCACACCAAATGTGCATTCATAAATGTACCTAGAGTAATAATGTTCCTCATATTCCACCATCTTTCCTTCCCCCATACCCTCTTCCCTTTCTCCCTCCCCTTTGCTCAATCAAAGTTCCTCCATTTTTCCCATGCTCTCCTCCATTATGGATCAGCATCCACTTATTAGAGAGAACATTTGGCCTCTGTTTTTTGGGGATTGGCTTACTTTGCTTAGCATGATATTCTCCAATTCCATCTGTTTACCTGAAAATGTTGTAATTTTGTCCTTTTTTAATGTTGAGTAATAGTCCATCGTGTATATATATACCACAGTTTTTTTTTATACGTTCATCTATTGAAGGGCATCAAGGTTGGTTTCACAGTTTAACTATTATGAATTGAGCTGCTATAAACATTGATGTGGCTACATCATTGTAATATGCTGATTTTAAGTCCTTTGTGTATAGGCCTAGGAGTGGGATAGACTGGGTCAAATGGTGGTTCCATTCCAAGTTTTCTAAGGAATCTCTATACTGCTTTCCAGAGTGGTTGCATCAATTTGTAGTTCCACCAGCAATGTATGAGTGTGCCTTTCCCCCCACATTTCRCCAACATTTATTGTTGTCTGTATTCTTGATAACTGCCTTTGTGACTGGAATGAGATGAAATCTTAGAGTAGATTTGATTTGCATTTCTTTAATTACTAGAGATGTTGAACATTTTTTCATATGGGATGCAGTTTTAACATAAAATGAATCTGTATTTGACTCTAAGTTCTTCTAATTATTATCCATGTAATTTTGAGCAAGACTTCTTCTAACTTCTCAAGATTCAGTTTCCTCATCTATATAATGGTGATACTACTACTTTAAAATAACTCCTTCACAATGTTCTTTATGGATCTGGGTTGGAGTTATAATGAGGTAAACTATTTTATGGTTAGATGATACAATATATATAAAGCCTAGTACATAGTTATGATAAGATTTTKGACTTAGAACGTATGCATATACCCTGACATGTGGGAATGTGCGTTCTCCATTTCCATGTTTCTTTGCATGTGGAGGGAACATCATTAGCATGAAGCCTCATTTTCCTTCTGCCTCCTAACTTATTCCAGGGGTGCTGGGTGACTTATCAGATGGTCAAGAATGAGCAGGGAAGGAGAGATCAGCAGGTGGTCAGGCCCACTCCTTTTCTCTTGGCTGGAAGTCCACATCCAACTCTGCTGATAGACAGCTGCCYGCTCTGGGGCACCAGCAATTGTATTCAGGTTTCAAAATTAAAGGTTAATTTTGCACTTTAAGGAAAGCTTTTTCAGTAATCAAGGTGATTTGGTGACACTTATATGTGCCTTTCTTTTTGGTTGTGGTTCTCTGTTCAGAATTCAAGAAGGAAAAGAAGGTGTTTCTTATCAGGCTTCTCAAGGCCCCGAAGATCAAATGACCCACTTCTTGTGTAATAAAGACATCTATGTATAGAAATATGGAAATAGATATTCTATCATGACTCTTTGTGCTGTTACTATTTGCCCTTGATTCACCTGACACAATATTCTGACATAAAGAATAAGCTGCTTTGCCTTGCTTGGTATCAGGCCCTAAGCCCTGTATTATCTGCTTAATGGTTTAAACCAGGCCGGATTAGACAGATCTGGAGACCTTGCTGGCTCCCACTTTAATCACCTCAGCGCCCAGGGCTGTGGCAACAATCACCTCTGCTTAGGGGTTGAATTAAAGAGCACAGCAATGGGTAGAGGTGCTTTCTCTCTAAAGTCATATCACCTCTCAGTTCATTGGATCCCAATGAATCAAGACCAGGAGGCAGGGAACAGAAAGTGACTTCTGTGGTTGTAGTTCAAAACCTACCATTTTTTTTTTTCTGAGCCAAAATATCTACAGTAGGAAAAAAAATCTCTAATGTAAAAATAGAATTTGTGTTCTCAACTGAAAATGTGATCATGGAAATGGATTCAACTGCTTCTATATTTGTTCAGATGTGATTTACCCATGAAACTTGCCATGACCTAAAATAAGCAAAAACAAACAAACAAAACAACAGCAACAAAAAACCAAAAGCAAAGACAAATACAAAAATAATATATACTTTCTAAAAACAAAAATCAGTCACAAAGTCCATGTATTAAAAAAAAACAAATCCATCCTATCCACTAAAAGTGCATCACACATTCACTCAGGGTCTATTAATTTTTATACTACTCATGGCCTTAACATGTTTGATTATCTGCTTTCTCACCATTAGCAATTGTGTGAGAGAGAATGCTGAAAGCAGTCAAACTTATAGAGCAGACAAGACAGCAAGAGGAATGTGAAACTGTAAAAAACAAATCCAATAAGTATCAAATCCCTGGAAATTTTCAGTTACAGCCAAAAACTCAGATATTTCAAGCATCCCAAGAGAAGATATATATACGTAATGTGTGTACACACACAGATATAACACACACACACACACACACACACACACACACAATTGTTCCTTGGTGTCTCTGGGGGCTTGGTTGCAGGTCTTGCTGAAGACATAAAGATCCACAGATGGTGAAGTCCCTTATATAACATGAGCCAATATTCACATACAACTTATAAACACAGTCCTGTACACTTTAAGTCATCTCTAGGTTACTTATAATACCTAATAACCCAATAAAATGTAAATATTATGTATATAGTTGATCCACAGTGTGTGTTTAGGAAATAATGGCAAGGAATGGTCTGTACATACTCAATTAAGTTGGATTTTATTAGAATATTCTTGATCAACAGTTGGTTGAACTCATGGATATTGAAACCACAGGTATGGAAGACAGACTGCATAGATATGTATTCATAAGATACCCCTGTGTGGTAACGAGGYATTTTGCATTTTCATTCTCATAAGCTGGTTTCTCAGGTCATGAACATGAGATAACATACCACTGGACTGTGGAGAGGATGACTGCCATGCCTTAGCTCATTGAGGCTTGGTCAGAATCTGATCTTTAAAGAAAAAGCTAGAAACAGGTAATCTAAAAGATTTCTTCTAGCTACAAAACTATTGAYGTCTAGAAATAATCATTAGTGTGTAAAAGTAGGTAAGTTTCCTCACCAAGTTAGAGTCAACCCTCTGTCAGAGACAGAGGAAATTAAATAGGACCTTCTACAAATGCATTTGCTGTCCAATGTCAGCATATTTTAATTACAATGAARATGAGAGAATGATAAAGAGCATGCACTAAGCCAATGAGACCTTAGAACTGACCTGAGTTTAATCTTGGCTGGGATACTTACAAGCTAAGTAAGTTAATCACTCTGAGACTCATTTTTCCCATCCGTAAAATAGAGATAATCRTAACAGTATACATCTTATAAGGGGTGAGGATTAATGAAACAGTGCTAATTAAATGCTTACCAAAATGCATCCTCATTTTATCCTCATCTCCCCTTTACTGTATTAGGAAGCCACAGGCCCTTTTATAATCCAGATGCCAAAAAAAGCTATAGTTAAGTGCCAAATTCTTATTAGAATTTGTCAAGTACTGAGTAGACCGAGATGCCTATGAGTTCTACCTTAGATTTCTTGTAGAAGACTGAATTTATGTTGGCCCT